ACCATCTTTAAGAATTTCAAACCCAAGCAAGCGTACAGGAAGTTTATATTTTTACAACAGTTTGCAGCCATTTATACATGGGACTTCAAAAGAGCACCAAAGAGAACGATATTAGAGACACAAGACAATAAAATAGTTTGACGTGGAAATGAAAATATTTGAGGGACTAAAGATGGTAAAGAGTCGATTTACATAATCAACTCATAATCTTGGGTTAATATAAATATTGAAATTGATATTCGACCCGATGACCAATAAATATTTCTTGAATTCATGCACTCTCTATCGTGGATTGGACCATCTTGTGACGTGTGACGAAGGAAAAAGATATTGATATTGATCTGATCTTTTTTTTAATTGGTATGATTAAAACACGAACGATAATCTATAAAATGAGAAAAATTATATGTGTTATCGTACATCAATAATAAAGTCTAAAATGATATTAAAAACATATTATAATATTATAATTTTAGAAAAGGCAAACAAAATAGACAAATTCATAGATGACGTAATGGTAATGTTTATGTTTTGCCTTCTTTACATATATAAATAATGTGGACTGAATGAAAACTAGTGTCTGCATTTGTTTATGTTTTTAAAATCGATCTAAGAAACTTTATAAACAATGGTTATGAATTGTAAAATGGGTGTATTTTCATTGAGAAAGAAAAACATCAATATATATATTTCTTGAAAAAACTAGTTTTTTTTTTTTTTGTTAACCTGGATATTCAACCTGCTATGCGAGCCGACTAATCCCAGGACAACCACCTACTTTGCAGATAGCTCGGAGTCACCGCATTTGAACCTTCATGGCCACAAGGGGATTTTTATTCCTTCTTGGATTTGAACCTAGGACCTCCAGGTACTTTTGACATTTGGAGCCAAGCTCAAACCAATCAGGCACCACCCTTGTGGTTAAAACTAGTTGATGAGCAAAAGATGAAAAAGAGGACTAAAGTTGAAACACGTAAGCTAAATGGCATCAGGCCTTCATCCTAGCAGCGACATAAGATTGATCTAGAATATTTCATTTACGCTCAAAACAGCCCAAAGGTCAATGGTCAATATTCAAGGACCTTTTTATTCTAAGTCAAAGAACTTTTTATTGGTAACACATTTCCTTGTTAGCACAACGTTACACAGGCAAAGTCAATGAACTTTTTATTCAAAGTCTTCTTCTCACATTGTCGATGACAATATTCAACTTGCACTTGAATGTGATAGGCTACTCAAAATGGGATATTAAGCAATATGTTCATATCTTTCTTTTAAGTACTCGCTTGGAAAGACTGTCACACGAGCACCAATTATACTCACACGACTTGAAATGATACAATGAGGCAGATTGCTGATATGAACACGAAAGCCCATATTTGAGGAGGCGTCCATCTAATGATACCTTTTTGAACTATGAAACTAAAACCTAGATTTTTTTTAAAGTTTGGAAATTTTAATTTGCAGTAAACCGTACGTTTATCTTTTTGAGAATAAGTCGAAAACCTTCTATCTAGATTAAGTTTAGCAGATGAGCTAGTGAATATAGGCATGGCAACGGGGCGGGGATGGGTAGGGTTTTGTATTCTCCAGCCCCGGTTTGTAGTAACATCCCTTCCCCGGTCAAACCTCTATCAATCTCCGGTCAAACCCCATGAAGAATATCACTTAGTTTGCTTCTACCGAGGATCCCAGGCCCCAGTTTAAGTAACATCCCTCGGCCCCGACCCCGGTTTAACTGGGAATCCCCGTCCCCGTTCGGGTCGAGTGAACCGAGTTCCCCACCGGGTCGAAGCAAATCACTATCCCTAAGGGTGCGTTTGGTTTGCAGGAATGTTTTTGAGGGATTTGGATTCCTGAAGGGATTTGGATTTCATGGGATTTGGATTGGATTGGATTTAAAATCCATTCCTGTGTTTGGTTTGCAGGATTTGGATTTGATTTGAAATCCATTCCTCTGTTTGGTTTGTAGGATTTGGATTTACATTTTTTTTTTAAT